CTACACGACTAGAACCCATTGGATGATTGACTGCCACTTGCAGATCAGATGAAATGAGAATGCTTGAAAACATTTATCACAGCCAGTACACAGATTTACCTGCCCACATTACAACACCTCCAGCACTTTCAATTCTCTTCCGCTCATCACTTCTGTTAGGTTTATGATCCTCGGAGAGAGGAATCGCTGTCCATTGAAAAAGGAGAAAATAAGAAAATCATTCAAGTAACCCAATGAGAAAATAATCACGAAATTCTTTAAAATTCTTGTCTAGAAAACAATTACCAACAGTTGAATGAAAAATGTAACTCAAAGCATCATTTATACCTTTTCCACCCTTTGAAATCACAGTCCGTGAATCTCCCACATTGGCAACATAAAGATGATCACCAACTAGCACTGCTGTCGAAGCAGTAGAACCATCATCACGGTAGGTATCCTTTTCAGAGTCCAAGAATTCTACATCAGTCTGCTGATATGATTGGCCTGCATATTTGACAAGGTTATTTTACAAAACCATAACAAACCCATTTCACACAATTTAACACGAACTGAATAAACAGCAAATGACAGACTTGGATTCATTATATTGGTCCCAGCTTTGTCCTTGACAGAGATGTAAAAGAACCAAGCAACTACATGGGACCCTGCTTGAGGATGCTACCAGGAACCAACAAAAGAATATTTGCTGATGTTATGCAGTTCATAATAATGGGCATAAGAGAACTTTGACGTACTTATGGCTAATTTGGTGTCTGCCATAAATTGTGGATGCTTCAGTAGATTCTCAAACAGGTGCTCCTTCAAATACTCAGCAGCACGAGAACCACCATGACCTGTAATAGTACATCATATAACTATTACAAGGAGAGAGAAGGAAAAAGTCTGCAGTCTTAAAAAAGCAAAATTGCTAGTGACAGCATACTATCCAAAACTTGAATCTGATGAGAACTGGTTTATTGAGAATTATGCGAGATACATGACCAACAGGAACCTGACTGGTGGTCACAATAACGAGAGATATAGCCTACAAATTAACTTCTCTTGAATGATCCCATCTTAACTGAAACCAAGTGGCAGCTTAGGTTACAAAGAATTGGTCTATTGTCTGATAGTGTAATTTCCTAGGTGAAAGCCATTAAAGACAACAGCCATGCCCAACACCATGTGTTTAGACATCCCTTGAACAGATGGTGGTTGCCATGAAAATAATTGTCAGAAACATGGAGATACATAAATAGTTGACAACCTAACTCTCATGCCACGCGTGTACTCTTCCATTCACAAGTTATTGGCACTTTCTAACTGGGTCAAACATGGGCATTCATGCAAAACAAAAATAGATCGACAACTTCAATAAACGGAAGAATAATGAGAGAATATAACCATCAAATATCCCAAACATGCAGACTCTTTGCCCATCAATCTTGGTGCTTTTGACATCATAGAAATCCTCCATGGTAACTCTCTTTCCCCTGAAACTTGAATATCCACAGCTCAATTCCCCATCTTCACTGCCAATAACATAAGAAGCCAAATTAAGGTTGGCAAATCGCATTAGACTGCTAATACCAGAAATGGTAATTTCAAACTTGCAAGGAAGAGATGTATTACTCTGGGAAACCTTCCACTTATGAGGAATTCGAGCATATTATTACTGTGGAAATTAAATATTTCTTGGGAAGAAAAAAAATCTTAAATAGACACACTCAAATGCAGAAGCACTGAAAATCAAAGTCTCATAATACTATTGCAAGTCAATTCTTTAACAATGGTTAACAGCTAGCCAATCAATCCTTTTCATAATTGCATTAGCTAAAGCAAAACAAGCCTAGATTATCCTTGTAACAAGTATTTCCTAGAACATTCACCAGAAATAGACACAACAACAAATAACAGAACCAAGAACCAACCTTTTCCACCATCCACTAACAAATCCACCATCATCTTCTTTCTCCTTCAAAAGATCAACAGTAGGTCCCCTTGTATCAGTAGAATCAGAATCAATCATCATACTTATTCTACTCATTAAAAAAACCTGTCTATTCCACTTATAATTTATGCCGCGGCTTGCATTCAAACTCCTCCCAATGTTGCCTAATTGCAACCTTGTTTCGCGAAAAATTCCAGCTTGTACAATCACACTCCTTATGCAGCTGTTGCATAACATCTAAATACACCCGAACTCTGGCCTTCAATGCCAGATCTCTTCCTGCTCAACAAAACATCTGCACAAGTCCAATAACAATATCAAAACTACCAAAAAACACTCTCAAAACTTAAAAAATCAAATCCAAATAATAAATATTCAATAATTCTAGCATGACCCTTTTGAGATACAGGATTATCAAATAGAATTAAAATACCCCAGATGAAAAATCATCAAAATCTGGACTCTTTTCATTAATTTTCGTTGATTTTAATCCAAAATAAACACAAACCAATCCCAGAAAAAAAAAATCTTACCTCTAAATCATTAGACTCCGTTACTGATGGAGCTGAGAAATCAAATAATAACAATAAAAGAGCTTAATAACCAAAAAGATGAAAATAATAAAGAAATTTTAAATCTTTTTAATAGAAAAACAAGAGTTTATTTTATTTCATAATGGATAGGATCCAAGTACTAATCTGGGATGGTTCAAAAAGACGAGAATCCGAATCTGAGATGCAAAAAGGAAAGGTCTTTTAGAATCAACAGAATGAATAATGAATGCTGAACCTTGTTTCTGTCTTTAAAAACAGCAACTCTGGAGAGACAAAGGGAGATACAGACAGAGACAGAGAAGAGATGATGATGTCCGTTTTTGAGTTTGGCAAGAAAGAGAAGACGAAACGTGGCACACTTCATGCATCCACTTACTTAGCTGTTTTTAAGGTGTGTCCAGATCCACTTTTGGTATCTTACGGTACCAATCACAGTCTGACACCAATAAAAACCCCTTTTATTCCATGTGTTTATATGTCAAAGAAGTTATTTTTTAAATCTTGATATATTATAAATCGGAGTACATCTAAGAGATTTGTTTTTTTTTATCTTGAGATTATTATTTGATAAAAAAGACAATACTTGATCCACATAAAAGTATGTTAACTAAAGGAAATCCTTTATTATCGAATTTTTAACATAAAATAAATATATAAATAGGTTAGCCACACACTTAACAATTCTGTTTTATAGATTATTTTTTTACAAAAAAAGTTTAATTTGATATTTTATATAAAAAAAAATAAGATAATTTTAGGAGTATATCATTTTTTTTTAAATAAATAATTAGATTTGAATTTAAAACCTCTACACTGAATGAAGCTAACTTGATTAATAATAATGGAATTCAGGCAACGTCTAAACTTTTATAAGCATGATGGGTGGAAGAAGGATGGAAATTATTAATATATTGCTAAATTTAATGAACAGAGGGGAAATAATTGATTCTATTTGATTTTACACTCTCCTTATATACATTTAAAAAATATCTTATTTTTTCAATTGAAAAATCAGTTTGGACATCAATTGTATTTATCAGACTAAGTTAAAAAGTGTCTTTGAAAATATATTAAAATTATATTTTTTATTTTTTAAATCAACATGTTAAAATTATCTAAAAACATATAAAAAACAAAATCAATTTAAAAAATAATTTATAATACAAAGATAAATACTCATTTCATCATGAAATAACAGGTGTCTTCATAAATTTATTACTAAATGTTGAATAATGCTAATTAAAAAATTGAAATTTTAAAATCTTCATTAGATTTTAATATATAATGCCTATTCATGAACTATTTTGTTCAAAGGATTTGTGATGGAATCAGATTGAAAATTTAAAAAGGGTAAAATACTTTTTTTTTTTTAAAAAAGGGGTAAAGTACTTACTCAGTGATCATTCTGCTTTGGACAATTGCCGCTCCAAAGGCTCTAATTGCCTTCTTGTTGAAATTCGGAAACTTTGCCCTTTGAAAATCGCTCCATCCAAAATGAAGCAATCTCTTCCCCTTCCATGCATAAAGATGAGCAAAATGTAAACAGATTTCAAATTATTAAATTACGAGGAATAAAATTTCATAATTTTTTTTATTTTTTATATAAATAATGACAATGTTTATAATCAGATTTAATATGTAAATAATGGCTTAAATATATCATTATAAACGAAAAACTACAAAAATAATTCAAGTATATTTATCAATTATATGTTTTATAAAAATGTAGACTGTTTTCATTTTAAAAAAAAAACTCAAGTACAGAATGGAAATTATTTAAGACCTCACCTGTCTGATTTACATAAAAATAATAATAAAATATTTTATTTATAACTTCATCCAGGAAATTACATTATTAGCCCCCCACAAAACAATCAGGGAATCAAAATTCATGAAAAGTAAGCATTATAATTGAAAAGGGACATGGATTATCCAATGGGAAATCTTGGTTTTGGACCATCAGTCAGATATTCCAATCATAACAATTTTATTTTTATTTTATTTCATCATCTTTTAAGGAAAATAGTATTCTACGGTATCACGGGGAGGATGAAAGCAGTATGATTATGATAGTAACTTAATTATTATTTATTTAGCATTAGTATCTTCACAAAACCGGACAGTGTCCATTGATTAAATGGATTAATCGTTAAATTCAGTGCACTCGTGCTACGATGAATTCGTCCAATCCGAGCCATGCACGTTGTCGGTCATCAAGACTTAGTGCTAGTCTGACTCAGACCTGGTCCTTGTTGACATGAACATGCCACAGACAAGCGAGGAAGACGCCATAGGCATACCTGTGGTTTTCCGCCCTAGACTGAGTTTTTAATTCAATTCTTGTGACTTTGAATATCTTTGTATTGATTGATTGGATGACTTGAAAAGAACATAAAGCATACACAATGCAAATTTGATTTCAGATCAGCAATGATCATTTCTGCCCTTTGGGAGTGTTTGTTTATGTGTTTCAAGCATTCAAATGGATATATAACATAAAAAATATATTATTTTAAAAATATTTTTATAAAAACATCTATATGATATTATTAAACACTACCCAAATTTAAGCAAGTCCATCATTAAAGAGTAGCGTGATTATTAATTTCCAGAATCTGTTTAAAGGCTCCACTTGCAGTATACGAAACCAAGTACACAACCATTTGGCTTATAACTCGATTTGAAGTCACGTGCTGTGATGGATGGATTTAATTCATGTTCCCATGATTGTTCTGGTTTTGCTGACAGCTCAGTGCAATCCGCCATGAACATGCCCTTTTCAAGCACTCATTCCGGGCAAGCTGATTGCTGGTCAGTTTCATGGTTTTTTTCTTGGTGAACATTATGAGCTTTGAATTAATGCAGATGATAAGATCAATCTGTCAAACATTTGGCCTCAGGTTTTGAGGGTTAGGCCTTCCTCATTTAATTTCTTTTACTGGGGCAAGTCTTACACTAGTCTGGCCTTTCATGCCTGTCTGCTTGCTTTGTCCCTCGTTAGTTTTTGCAAAGTTCATCTAGAAAAGACAAAGGAAATTGTTGCAGAAGGGACTGTCCATATCAATTTGAGCTGGCTTCCTTTTAATCCAGAAATGTCATGAATGAGGACAGATGTATTAGCTGTCCGAGATTAATTTAGAGTTTAGATAATGTGGGTGTTTGGTAGGGTGGTGAAGGGTTTTTTTAAAAATATATTTTAATTGGAATTATATTAAAATGGTTTCATTTAGGATTTGGTACGGGATCTACACGAGGACATCTAGGATTTAGGCCAGGGCACCTAGGTTTTGGATCAGGACTGGTGTCGTCGTCTAAGGCACCCGACTATAGTCCATGATGCTCGGGTTTCGATTTAAGGCACCCGAGATATGAGGTGAAACCTGTGCTAGGGTGCTCGGGTTGAGGGCTTGGATATGATTTGGCATGCCGGGTTAGGACTAAGGCTGCGCTTGTTTTACGCATGCTTTTGTGTTTGTGAGGCAATAAACATAGCAAGGTATGTGAAGCAGATTTTACATGCTTTGGAACCAAGGCTGCGCTTGATTTACACATGCTTTTGGTAATTAAATAAACTACGTTTTATACCAGGGGACTTGTTAAGAAATTAAGTTTGCAATGCAGTTTATGTGAAGTAATTTTTATATATTTTTTTAATTAAATTTATCTTATTTATTTTTATGTTTCAAAAATATTTTAAAAAAATTTGAGAATTTTTTAATTTTTTGCTTTAAATTATTATTTTTTTAGTGTTTTTAAATCATTTTGATGTGCTAATATCAAAAATAATTTTTAAAAAATAAAAAAGATATTATTTTAATATATTTCTAAATAAAAATCAACTACAATTATACTTAACACCAACCAAATATTTTAGTAATATATTTTTTTTTACATATAAACTTCAACTATATTTTTTATTAAACAAATATTTAAATTCAACTACTCATAGCTAATTATATTTTTAAAAAATTATAACCGCAAAAGCTATCTTAAAAATAAAACACAATCTAAATCTAAATCACACAAGATTAAGGTTGAGATCGAATCTAAGGTGTCTGGCTAAATCTAAATTTAATTTTTCCTAGTTTCATGGGGGAGAATAATATCGTATGTTTTTCCTAGCCCCATAACCTACCTCTTGTCTTTGTTACTATCTAGAACTTCAAGGATCGACCACATACAAGGCTGTAAGGTGTTGCGTCAAGATTAGGTTAATGTTTATTTTTATATTTTAAAAATTGTTTTAAAGAATTTTAATTTTTTTTATTTTTCATTTAAAATTAATATTTTTTGTGTTTTTAGATAATTTTAATACACTAATTTAAAAAAATATTTTTAAAAAATAATAAAAAATATTATTTTAATACATTTCTAAATAAAAATATTTTAAAAAACAAACTCAACCATATTTTCAAATAGATTTAGATATTGAGGTCAGAGCATCTTGAGTTCAGGAGCATTTAATATCTAATTAAAAATTAGTTTTTTTAATGTTTTAAAAATATTTTTAAACAAAATTATTTTTATTTTAAATTAATATATTTTTAGTTTTTTTAAATAATTTTGATATCCTATATTAAAAATAATTTTTTCAAAATATTTTTTTAATATATTTTCCAACAAAAAACATTTAAAAAACAATAGCTACCCAATCCCTAACATTTAAATGCTTTTGTTTTATATATATGGAAAAAACTAAAATAAAGAACAAGTAAAAAAAAGTTATCAGATTTTTAAAAACAAGAAAAAGATACTTGAAAAATGGAAACAAAAACAAGAAATAGGAACTGAAAACAGATATGATTCCATATAGCCCCTCAATTACTCATAAAAACAACCTCATAATCAAATTGTCGCATCAAGTATTCGTGCATGATTGACCCTCTACGTGGATTACGTAATACATTTATATACCATGTTGTTCTTGAGATAGACAAATTAGTAAGGCAAGTCTCGATGATCCTCAAGCCAGGCACAGCAAGTACAGGCAAGCTGTACGTCACTGAAATAGAAACTACTCCTGGCAAATGAAAACGGCTGCGTTTGTTAGCGAGGTTGAGGAAGTCTATTTCTATCTCGTGGACTTGGAGGCCAAGCTGAGAACCGAACCGTGATAATATTGTTAATCTTTTGATTTTGGTAAATTTGATTTTTCTTTTTTTATGGAATGATTGGTAGATCATGCTTGTTTTTTTTATAAAATGTCTCTCTTTTTTATTTAAAAACTCCCTAATAATTGAATTAATGTGATTTTAAAAAAATCAATTATTTATAAGAAAATAACCTTTCATGATAAGAAAAAAAACTTAATCTAACTAATTTTTTTTTTCAGCCCTTAATAGTTTTAGGTGAGAAGCCTCTTAC